CTGAATGGGCCTGGGCGCAGACACTCTGGCCCGATTGGAAGCTACCGGAAATACACGAGGTCCAGCCAGGGAGCAGACTGGGCGAGCACTTTCCATAAAGGAAAGAGCTCGCCACTGGTGGAGGCATTCGGGCACTAGGCAGTGCATGTGGCAGCGTTGCTTGAGCGTGCGCTCACAGGCTGTACACTGTGCGCTAGCGCTTGCTGCCAGGCAGTGCACGCGGGCGCTGGAAGAAGGCAGGGCGCTGCCAAGGGCAGCGCCATAGCCAGCCTTACATAGCCAGGGCTTAGCTTGGACAGCCAGTGGAGGTGGTGGTGGTCTTCATGCATAAGGGAGAAGACGTGGGAGGAAGACGAGGATAGGGAGAGAGTGAAAGAGATGAGGATGATGATGGGAGGGCGCATACCTGGTATTGGCGATGGTCTGCATTGGTCGACATCTTCAAGTACTTCGGTGGCTGCTGACGTCAACAGTTGCATTGTCAATTCGTAGGCAGGAAGTAGTTGTGTAGGGAGTAGCCTGGGCGCCGAGCGCCAAGTAGGGAGAGAGGGCCTGGATACGTATGTTGGTGGGGACGAGAGTAAAGCTCTCATTGACATTCGGGTTCAGTGTTTCAATTCTCCATTGGTGTAATATTGGTGCAACGCTGCTTATCTGGACACGGTGGGACTTTCTTGCTTTCGATGTGATTGTGCTATCTGGATTCTGTCATCTTGCTCTCTCTCATTTTCCTTGCACTTTTCTGTGGAATGATTTTGGAATCCAATGAGCGTAAAAGTGCTAAGGACTACAAGCAGGTGCAGCCAGCGCAGATATGCCCGCAAAAAAAGTTAGGAAGCAACCCCAATGAAGAATCTCACTTCGCTCTTTCTGTCTCTGACTCTATGTTTTCTTTGTTAGTGTATGGCTGGTGCTTTCTGTATCACTGTTTTAGCTCTTGGCGTCTTCTGTCTTTCTAAGTGTTTGTGGAAAGCAGAATAGTAAACAGCAATAGTCACAAACAGCAAGGTCATGCACGGTCACAAACAGAATAGTAAACAGCAACGAATCTTCAACGATTCGAAGAACACTATCATTGTCACAGAGAAAGAGTAGAAAACAGAATCGCTAAACTTAAAATAAACCGGCCAGAAACGCCGTCCACATATTCAATTTCACCGATTCAATTAACAACAGGTCAA